ATTAGTTTTTATTATAAAAGCTTAGTATGGCTACGATATAAGTTAACTGCTTTTAACATTGATGGGAAAACCACACTAAAGCTATAATCCTGTATTATGGTTCTTTAAACTAAACTCTGTTAAACTCAATCATGGTGGTTGTTATTTTTATTCTGTGTAAGCATGAATAGATGTGTGTGAATATTCATAACCAGGCAGGCATTTAGTTAAGAGAGTTATGAGCTTGAATACAATTATTAATTGAACTAAAATGATTATAAATTTGTTTTCTGCATCAGGTATTCATAAAGTCATAACAAAACTTAAGGCCAATAGAGAAAATTATGCTAATTTGTCTGTTGACCGTCTTTCTAAACAGCTTACAAATTGTAAATCTATATGGATAGTCACTTTTGTTACTAGGATTACAATTCATTTGAACTATTGCACTCGGCATTATTATCACCATTATTTGAATATGTAGAAGTGAAGTAAGAATTCTGTACTTTTGTGAAGTGGTAAAAATGTTTTTTCCCTCTTATTGTTGCAATTTTTTTAATTATCTATTATTTTCAAAGAAATTGCAAACCATAGGCAACAAGATTTTATTTAGCCCTTCACAAAAGTAGAAAATTCTCTTTGCTTAAAAACCTTTTTTTAATCCACATAAAGATGCAGTCAACAATGTAGAAAGCTTACCATCATATCTAATTCTGTCAAAAAATGAAAAAGTACAGGCATTTGCTTTTTTTATTTAAATAATGGTACCAAGTGCAGTAATATGTTCATCTATTTGTAGCCTACCTTGTGTTCTGTTCAACTTTAAAGTATTAAACTTTAAATTCTGTATTCGAATGCTGGGTGGGAAGTAAGAAAGCTGCCATCCACTAGCTCTGAAGTGTAGACTAAATTAGGCATAGCCAGTCTAAAATTTTAAGATCAATACTAAAACACCACATCTTTTGGTTTAAAATGACAGTATCTTAAAAAAAAATCTGCCATGCATTCACAAATTATAGAGTTTTGGCTGAAGTTTGCATGATGGCTTATTAAAGGCTGAAACCTTCACATTTCCACTTTTTGTTAAAGGACTACTTTTTAATCTTCATCTGTTTGATGAAGGGATTGTATTTTCCATTTTAACTATTCTGTGACATCTAGCAATGAATGCTATGTATTGCTTTATGAATTAGTTGTCGGAGAACAGAGTTATCAGTCTGATGTACCTTTGCCAAATAGTAAAAAAAAAAGTTGTTCTACATGCCTTACATATATAAGAGTGGTTCTCCTATTTTGCTGTATAATGGAGACTTGCCAAAAGAGAATGCTGCTGCATTTGCAAAACTGTCAAGCACTTACTCAGAACAAGCGTGACAGAGGCCTACATTGTCAGGGGTACAAAGAACAGCTTGAACATCATTATATTGTTTTTCCAGGAGGAATTAGAAAATACAACTGTGAGTTTCCCTTTGTTAATCTTCTCGGGCTTTGCCTTGCAAAGTTCTAGTTGCCATTCAGTTCTGGGTCAGCATCTCGAACTAGTCCTACAAAGCTTAATCCTAACTTGTAAAGTAACAATATAAAGATCTTTCCAATGCCATTTATGTATATGCCCAGTATTATTTAGCAGTAAAATTCTTTTTTTTTTTTAGTCACTATCCTTCAATGTAAGTAATAAAAAGCGGAGTTAATTTAATGGGTGTCTGAATATAAGCTGTGATTACATTGCAAAACAAGGAAATACACTCCTACACTGCATCAACTGAAGTGTAGAATGTAGGATATGAACAAACTGTAACATGTTCAGAGGAAAGCAATCAACCACAAAAAAACTGGAAGGAAAAAATTATGAGGAATTTCCTAACTAAATGCTGTTCAGTAATGGAACTGAAGGCAAGGGACTCCTTCATTATACTTATTTAAGAAATGGTTGGATATCCATGTGTCAGGAGTAATTAAGTAAAAAACTCCTGCCTGGGCAGTATGTTAATCAAGATGTTCTCCAAAGTCCTTTCCAATCCTTACCTTCTTTGATTCTATAAAAACCAAGTAAATCATACTTCCGCTTAGTGCAATAAGTAAATTCAGGAATTGTGATTTCTTCAATGAACCGTAGGTAGCCATGTTTATTATCCAGTAAAATGTCTTTTTGGGGAGTAAAAAATAATTACTTTTCTATGTCACTTTTCTTTTATGAGGTTAAGCAGGTGCACTCACCCCCCAACCATCTTGCAAATACTTATCCTGTTTGTGCTCTGGTTGACAATAAGGACACCTGAAATCTGACCTTTCTGGATTACATCCAGTTGTCAAATTTGGCTCCTCCATTGCTTTTTTCCTAGTCTCTGTTGAAATACACATTTATTGGCAGAGTATTTAATATTTAGGATTTTAAGAGTTTTTAGCTTTATTTTTTTACTTGCCATCATTTTACTGTATTATATTTAGTAGTTTTTACTGGATACATTTCTTAATCGTTTAACATGGATTCCATATGTTGCAAAAACAGATGGAGCTATCTTGAGAACATTTGCCAAAAGGATAGTAAGTAACCTCCTTGATGAAGCGGGGAGGGGAGGAATTGGTGGTGACATTTTTCTAATCACACAAATCTCTATGTGATTAGCTTTATTGAAATCCAGTGTCCAAGTAATATTCAGTAAATAACTAGCAACCACTTCATGGATCCAGTATCTATTTTTGAAAGCCCCCATGCCCCGCAGCCGAAAGATTTCATTTCAATATATGACACTTTTCTTTTTCATCTTTGCTTGTGAATACAATGGCCAGTTTGTCCTGCTTGTGTGAAGAAGCCAAGACAGAGAAAAAGGGAAATATATATTTCATTCCCTGTCACCTAAACATAGAAGGATCTTTTGAAAGGAGAATATACCAGTATACATCACTGGTTGCTCATTATCAGCAGGAGAAGATGCTTTTTGCTGCAACCTTCAAATTAACTGGAGCATTATCTAGAAATGATAACTTAGTGAAAATACTAAGAATGTTCTGCAAATAAAATATTTCTCCTTGAAATGGCTTCATGGGATTGTTTAAGGACAGTATAATATCTTCTGCTTTTTCTGAATGTCTTTTAAAATGTTACTAGATAATCCATGGCCCATTGGGTCATCGTTCAGAAATATTTCCTTATCAGATTCCTTAAGGCCTTCATAATGACAGAGTTTGTAATGTATTGTCTCCACTGGAAAATTTGGGATCCATCTAGAGATTTATCTGCCTTGAAAATAGCCTGTATTGAATTGTATAGTTATAGTACAATAAAACATCAGCACAGGAAGCACTTTGACATTTGGTATTTTGTCATAAACTGTTTTATACTTTTTAAATGTCATAAATCGGTTTACAAAATGTACCAAAATCAGCAGGGGTCATACTTCCAGATTTTTGTCCCATTCTCTAAATTAGCCCTCTTGAGGTACCTTGGTTTCAAAAAATGTTGCCTATGTGCACCATTTCACCAAGTTAAAAATTACAGTAATCAGAGTTTTAGTAAGTATATAGACTTTAGGAGATGTTACATTGGCTTTTTGGTTGCCAAATGTCCACTCAATGGATCCAAAACTTTGTTCTTTAAGGTCTTTAGAGAAACCAAGAGTTCACAGGATAGTTCCCTGTCTGAATTCTCAAAATGGGCATGAATATATTCCTACTTCTTTGAGAATTAAATGAAAGGCAGGTGTTCTAATCCAGACAATGGATTATAATCCAGTTGGTTATAGGATATAAGAGCCCTAAAATAAATTGTCCCAATGTTTTTGCCTCTGCAAGGCATTACAAAGGAGGTCAAGAAAACCATCAAATGGGATTTGCATCCTAAAACTGGCCACCCCTTAAGCACTAACATGCCTCTCGCTTTATAGCTGACAATGCAATTTCTTAGCTATTAGATGAAAATGCTTTTGCATGGTATTGGTTTTAGTCACCCTAATAGCAGTGGGAAAGTGTGCAACCCTATTGAAATTTTTTTCTTAATTTTATTTTATTCAGAAAATTCAAATACAAAATCCAAAAGATTTTTTTTAACAAAGACAAAAGTAGACAAGAACATTAAAGAATATGTATTAAAAAGAACAAATGACAAAAACACATATTATCTCCCAGTAGAACACTGACAAATCTATTGCAACAATAACAGCTTCCCTCACCTTGCAAAACAGGTCCAAAATTTATAAGCTTCTGCATCTATTTGCTGCCAATTACCTCCNGAATCCCACCACTGCTTCAAACATACTGTGTTATTCCTTTTCTCAACAGATTTGGTTAGCATAAATATGACATAGTAAATAATTACTGTTAGGCTCCTGTTTGTATCATAAATTATATATAATGGTTTGGAATAAACAGGTATTATCTTTTCTCACGTCATAAAATCAGCCAGATTGTGTTTTCCCAGAGAAAATATTAATTTGAGGCTGGTCATGAGAATCACTGATATTGAAGTATCCTCCAGGAATTGTCTTTCACTTGGGTACAAAAATAATCTGGCAAATTAAATAAAATTCACACCTCATATGACTGTGAACCTACTTTCAAAGGCAAAATGTAGAAACTTAAGACTATTAAGTATCAAGAGTCAGTAGACTGAAAGTTGTCCTTGCTGACTGAAAATACAGTTGAGCTATTATATCAGATAAAGGTAAGGAATCCTTGCGGATTTTACTCCACCAGTTGTTGCTGGCTATAGGGGCGGTGTTCATCTCCATTTCAAAGCCATTGATTTAGCACTCTCCAAAGATATTTCCGTTGTCATGTGACCAGCACCACGGAGCACTGTTAGCTTCCCACCAAAGTGGTACCTGTTTATCTACTTGCCTCTGCATGCTTTCAAACTGCTAGGTTTGCAGGAGCTGAGGCAAGTGACAGGGGTTCACTTTTTCGCGTGGCACTTAGATTTCAAACCTCGGCTGCTGGATTTCAGGCCGAAAAACCCAATGTCTTAACCGCTCAGCCACTGCACCACCCACATCAGATAAAAAATCCATATGAAGAGAACATACTGTGTCGCTTTAACTCCTTCTGAAGTTTGCTTATTTGATTGCTCTTCATCCTGTTACTAGGTAGAGGTTTTATCTTCTTTGGCTTCAGTGTTGTTTTAAGGCTCGGTCCAGCCCTTGCGTCCACCACCTATAGGAAGGCAACAGGAGATCTTAGTACCATCAGCAACAATAAGGCCTCACAGAGATTTTTTTAAAATGGGAAAATATGTTGAAGTTTTTAAAAACCTGGATTTCCAAAGCTAAAAAAGAAAAAGCAGGAAAATTGAATTTCATTATCAATCCTATCCAATCCTAGTGCCAGTAAAAGTGATTAGTACTTACCAAAGAAATTAAATAGTTGGAAAATGTGATATATTAATCAGAATTTGTTCTGCCATTGGATTCTGCCAGTGCATGGTTTATATTGGTTTTACAGACAATGGGACCTTATCTACTTGATATTATTTTATTCAGCCATTCCCTTAGTTAGTCTTTTGAGATACCAGAAGATTCATTGCAAAAGGGAACCAATGCTACTTAAGAAAAATGGATGGGTTTTCACAAAATAGTGAATGAAGTAACTGGCTGACCAACCGCACTCAACGTGTAGTCCTCAATAGAAATGCATCTACATCCCAAGGCTGTTTATAATTCATTTATAATGCCTTGGTAAGGCCACACTTGAAATACTGCCTCCAGTTTTGGTCGCCACGATGTAAAAAAGATGTTGAGACTAGAAAGAGTGCAGAGAAGAACAAAAAGATGATTAGGGGACTGGAGGCTAAAACAGATGAAGAATGGTTGCAGGAACTGCGTATGTTTAGTTTGATGAAAAGAAGGACTAGGGGAGACATGATAGCAGTGTTCCAATATCTCAGGGGCTGCCACAAAGAAGAGGGAGTCAAGCTATTCTCCAAAGAAATGGGTGGAAACTAATGAAGGAGAGAAGCAACTTGGAACTAAGGAGAAATTTCATGATAGAACAATTAATCAGTGAAACAACTTGTCTCCAGAAGTTGTGAATGTTCCAACTT